CATGGGACTGTATTTATCTTGACTGAGTTGTATGACGTTCTTTATATATTTTACGATAAAGTTCTTTCAGTCAATATAGATACTGATTGTAAAGTATAGTTCCCATTCTGTTTAATTCTCTTTTACACTCCTTGGATTCGGTATCCTCAAGCACAACAGGTTTTAAATTTTTATAAGTTCAGATCATCGTTTTTTAGTTTAGCTCTTTAGGATTTTATCCATTTGATGGATCAGAAAAAACTTTGGCCACCCACGGTGGCTTCACGCCTGTAATCTCAACACTTTGGGAAGGGTGAGGTGAGCGATCACCTGACGGTCAGGAGTTGGAGACCACGCATGGTCAACATGGTGAAAACCGGCATCTCTACTAAAAATACAAAAAATTAGCCGGGCGCGGGTGATGGGCTCCTGTAATCCGTTACTTGGGAGGCTGAGGCAGGAGAATCACTTTGAACTCAGTGGGCAGAGTTGCAGTGAGTCGAGATCATGCCACTGCCACTCCAGCCCTGGGCGACGAGTGAAACTCAGTCTCAAACAAAAAAAACAAAAGGAAGATCATATAATCCGTGTCACCTTGAATAGAGAAGAGAGATAGTTTAACTTTTTCCTTTCCCATCTGGATGCTTTCCTTTTTCTTGTTGAATTGCCCCGGCTTGAACTCCCAGGGCAGTGTTTTTTGTTTTTTCTGAGACGGAGTCTTGCTCTGGCACCCAGGCTGGAGTGTGGTGGTGTGATCTCGGCTCACTGCAACCTCCGCCTCTCGGGTTCAAGCGATTCTCCTGCCTCAGCCTCCCCAGTAGCTGGGATTACAGGCACCCGCTGCCACGCCTGGCTGCTAATTTTTGTTTGTTTGTTTGTTTGTTTTTGAGACAGAGTTTCACTCTGTCTCCCAGGCTGGAGTGCCATGGCAGGATCTCAGCTCTCTACAACCTCTGCCTTACGGGTTCAGGCAATTCTCCTGCCTCAGCTTCCCGAGTAGCTGGGATTACTAGTGCCTGCTAACACACCCATCTAATTTTTTGTATTTTTAGTAGAGATAGGGTTTCGTCACGTTGGCCAGGCTGGTCTTGAACTCCAGACCTTAGGTGACCCGCATGCTTCAGCCTCCCAAAGTGCTGGGATTACAGGTGTGAGCCACTGTGCCCGGCCTAATTTTTGTATTTTTAGTAGAGAAGGGGTTTCACCATGTTGGCCAGGATGGTCTTGATCTCCTGACCTCAGATGATCCGCCCGCCTCGGCCTCCCAAAGTGCTGGGATTACAGGTGTGAGCCACCGCGCCCGGCCCCAGTGCAGTGTTGAGTAGAGGCAGCGACACTGCTTTGAGTGTAGAGAGCACATCCTTGTTGCCCCTGATCTTAGAAGAAAAGCTTTCAGTCTTTCCTCATTAAATTTGATGTTAGCTGTGGGTTTTTCATACATGCCAGGTACCAGATTGAGAAGATCCCCTTCTGTTCCTAGTTTATTGAGTGTTTTTATCACAAAGGGATGTTAAATTCCATCAAGTGCTTTTTCTGCATCTGTTAAGATAATCCTGTGGTTTTTGCTTTTTATTTTACTGATAACTGCATTCTATTGATTTGGGGATGTTAAGCTCTCCTTGCATTCTTGGGATAAACCCCCCTGGTCATGGTACATAATTTTTGTATTTCCTGGGTTGGGGTTGGTATTATTTTGTGGCAGTTTTTGTTGTTTATTGTCGACTAATGTGAGGTCACACTGTCACAGCAGCACAGCCATCACTCAGCTCTGGAGGCAGGAGGAGAACTGGGAACTCCAGCACTATTAGGCGATACTGAGGAAGATTTTATTGTATTTTGTTTTCAGCTCAAGGAGTTATGACCACTCAGAGAATTCCGATTTGGTCTTTAGTGGCCGCACAGGAAATGAGGACATTATTTCCAGATTGCAGGTGAGTTTGAGGATGCCACAACTCAGTGCGTTCACTTCATTTAAGCTGCATCCTATTAAGATGTTTATTATAGTCTGGGCGTCGTGGCTCATGCTTGTAATCCCAGTACTTTGGGAGGCCGAGGCTGGTGGATCACTTGAGATCTATACAGGTAGACAGCATGTACCTGTGTGTGTTCACTGTCAGTCAACAGGTGTTTACTGGTGCTGGCCACCCATGTGTCTTCTGTGCCAGGCCCCTGTCTTCCCCTCCCCCAGCACTGGGGCCTCCTAACTCCTTAGCCAGATGCTTTCCCTAGACCCACCTGGCTCCTTCTAATCATTATTATTATTATTATTATTATTGGGACAGGGTCTTGCTGTGTCTCCCAGGCTAGAGTACAGTGGTGCGCTCATAGCTCACTGCAGCCTTGACTTCCTGGGGTTTTGCCATGTTGCCCAGGCTGGTCTCGAACTCTTGGGCCCAAATGAACCACCCATCTCAGTCTCCAAAATTGTTGGATTATGGGCGTGAGCCACTGCACCTGATCTTTATTCTTCTTTAAAAAACACAGCCAGGCCGGGCGCAGTGGCTCAAGCCTGTAATCCCAGCACTTTGGGAGGCCGAGACAGCTGGATCACGAGGTCAGGAGATCGAGACCATCCTGCCTAACACGGTGCAAACCCCCATCTCTACTAAAAAAATACAAAAACCTAGCCGGCGAAAGTGGGCGGGGCGCCTGTAGTCCCAGCTACTCGGAGGCTGAGGGCAGGAGAATTGGCGTGAACCCGGGGAGGCGGGAGCTTGCAGTTGAGCGGAGATCCGGCCAACGCACTTCAGCTGGGCGACGGAGGCGAGACCTCCGCCTCAAAAAAAAAAAAAAAACACATGTCCGCGGCACAGTGGCTTGTGGCCTGTAATTCCCAGCCACTTTTGGGAGGCTGAAGGGGGTAGATCACTTGAGGTCCAGGGGCCTCCAAGACCCGCTGGGCACATGGTGAAACCCTGTCTCTACTTAAAATACCAAAAAAGTAGTTGAAGGCATTGCTGTGTACTATAGTCCCCAGTGCTCGGTGGTGTGTCTACGTCCCAGTGCTCGTAGACTGACTTAGGAGAATCACTGAGCTTCAGAGGAGGTACGGATTGCACTGTGCCCTCCAGGCCTGGGCAAACCGGACTGAGAGCTGTCTCAAAAAAGAAAAAAAAAAAAAAGACTTGTGAGGCAAAAATGAGGTGGTGGGGTAAAATGTTAGCCTGAGGTTACTCTGGTGGACGGGCACATGGTGTCCTTGTGCTGGTTTTTGGTGCTTTGGTTTGGTTTTTGAGACGACTTTCTTGCTCTGTCACCCCAGGCTAGGTGAGTGGTGGGATCTGGCTCACTGCAAACCCTCCACCTCCTGGGTTCAAAACGATTCTCTGCTCTTGGCCTCCTGGATTAGGCTGGGATTACAGGACTGCACACACCCACGCTAATTTTTTAGGGTATTTTGTTGGCCCATGCTGGTCTTGAAAATCCTGACCTAGGTGGATTCCACTGTCTTGGCCTCCCACAGTGCCGAATATTACAGGCATGTTGCCACCTTCTGGTCTTTTTTTTGTTTTTTCTTTTCTTTTTTTTTTTTTTGAGATGGAGTCTTGCTCTGTCGCCCAGGCTGGAGTGCAGTGGTGTGATCTCAGCTCACTGCAAGCTCTGCCTCCCGGGTTCAAGCCATTCTCCTCCCTCAGCCTCCCGAGTAGCTAGGACTACAAGCACCCACCACCACGCCCGGCTAATTTTTTGTATTTTTAGTAGAGACGGTTTCACCGTGTTAGGATGGTCTGTCTCCTGACCTCATGATCCGCCTGCCTCGGCCTCCCAAAGTGCTGGGATTACAGGCATGATCCACAGCACCCGGCTGTTTTTCTTAATTGAAAAGCGGTACTCTAACTCCTGGGCTCAAGGGATCTGCCTGCCTCAGCCTCCCAAAGTGCTGGCATTACAGACGTAAGCCACAGCACCCGGCCTGCACTGTTCTATATTTGCAATTTCAATTTCAAAGTGATTTCCAGTTGAAATAGTTTGCCCCACTTGTTCCTTCTTGCCCTGTCCCCTGTGGAGACCTTTCCCTGACACCGCGCGCCCCCCCGCATCAGGGTACCCGACTGGCTGGGCAGTGAGCCCCGAGGCCTTCCTGTGCCAGCATCCTCCTCTTTTCCAGGAGATGGTAGCTGACCTGGAGCTGCAGCAGGACCCCTCAGTGCCTCTCGGCCACACCCCTTCCCAGGGGCACTTCCTCTTTGGGATTTTCTGCCGACGACTCCAGGCTCTGACAAGCGGTTGGAACGTGGCTGCCAGCCTTCAGAGACAGAGGGAGCTGCTCATGTACAAACGGTAATACCTACTACCACCTGGGCAGGGCAACATCTCATGACGGTCCTAGAGTTTCTTTGTAGCGAGTTCGTTTCCCGTGACTTACTTGTCTGTGTGTCCCCATCCCAAGCCTGTCCCTCTCTGTAGCACTTGCCACGGAGAGGAGGATCCAGAGGGTTTAAAGTACTTCTGATTAAAACCTTCCGGCTGAGCGAGGTGGTTCACGCCTGTAATCCCAGCAGTTTGGGAGGCTGAGATGGGTGGATCACCTGAGGTCAGGAGTTTGAGACCAGCCTGACCAACATGGCGAAACGCTGTCTCTACTAAAATTACAAAAATTAGCTGGGTGTGGTGGCGGACGCCTGTAATGCCAGCTACTCTGGAGACTGAGGCAGGAGAATTGCTTGAACATGGGAGGCAGAGGTTTCAGTGAGCCGAGATCGTGCCATTGCACTCCAGCCTGGGCGACGGAGTGAGACTCTGTCTCAGCAACAACAAAAAACCTTCCTGCTCAGATGTGGAGGGACGTCGCAGAAGGAGCTCCTGTCAAAGTAGGGAAAACTGTTCAGAAATGCCCATGGCAGCTGCATTTATAATAAGCGTGAAGTCATTAAATCGAAGTCATTTACTTTTACAGTCGTAGGGAATTGCTTCACTAGACAGACTGGCGCATCATCCACCTGGTTATTATGTAACTGTTAAAAGTTGTTTGGTAACACATTTTGAGTGCAGTGGGCCAAGCACGGTACAGGGGAGTTGGGCTCAGAGTGCAGGCTTTGGATGGGACAGAGGGACACAGGCCACAGCGCCGGTTCCAACAGTGGCCTTGGGTTTCAGGGTGTGGTTGCTACTCTGAGAGTCTGAGCCCTTGGGAGGGAGCAGAGTGTATGCTGTGCGGTTGCCACAGATACAGCCCCTTCTTTCCAGGATCCTCCTCCGCCTGCCTTCGTCTGTCCTCTGCGGCAGCAGCTTCCAGGCCGAACAGCCCATCACTGCCAGATGCAAGCAGTTCTTCCACTTGGTCAACTCTGAGATGGTAGGTGCCCCGTGTGCATGTGTCCATCTGATCTGTCGGTGCCTGTGGCACTGGCAGCAGCTCTTGCAGCCTCCATGTGTGTCCTGAATTCACCGTGCAAATTACTGAAGAAAGGGTTCAAAGTCAAATAGGGAACAATGTCTGGAATGCCGTGTGAGGGAGGGCCCCTACCCACAGCCAGGACGGCGGCCAGCACGTCACCAAACCAGCTGTAGGTTGCCTTCTCCAAAGTTTGAGTTCCTTCAGTTTCCCTCAAGTTTTAATAATTTTGACGCATGGAATCGTACAGACCATTTTGTGTGCCACGCACCTCAGTTCATTTATTTCTAATCTCAACATGCTTCACGTGTGAAAAAGCCTTGTGGTGATCTGACTACTGCTGTTGCCTGCCAGGCAGCCCCATTGTCTTCCGTTTTAGACACTGCCCAGTGTGAGTTGCAGAATGATGTTAACCAGTAGCCGGGCACAGTGGCTTACGCCTGTAATCTCAGCACTTTGGGAAGGCGGGGGGATCACGTGAGCCCAGGAGTTCAGGACTAGCCTGGGCAACACAACAAAACCCTGTTTCTACAAAAAATAGAAAAATTAGCTGGGCATGGTGGCGCATGCCTGTAGTCCCACCTACTTGAGAGGCTGGGTCAGGAGGATTAATTGAGCCCAGGAGGCAGACGTTGCATCGAGCCAGGATCTCGCCACTGCACTCCAGCCTGGGTGACAGCGAGACTGTCTCAAAAAAACGAAGTGGCCCTTGCTATGGGGATGGGTCAGTGTCAGGGACCCAGTTGGTCAGAGCAGGGGAGACAGATGCTTGTTTTTGAAGATGCACAAATGTGAGAGATGGAATTCAGGTTCCATGCCAGCTCTGGAGCATTTTATATTTTTATTTATTTATTTAAGAAGAAATTTTTTTTGAGACCGAGTCTTGCTCTGTTGCCTGGGCTAGAGTGCAGCGGCGCAATCTCAGCTCACCGCAATCTCCGCTTCCTGGGTTCAAGCAATTCTCCTGCCTCAGCCTCCTGAGTAGCTGGGACTACAGGTGCCCGCCACCACACCGGCTAATTTTTGCATTTTTAATAGAGATGAAGTTTCACCATGTTGGTCAGGCTGGTCTCGAACTCCTGACCTCGTGATCCACCCACCTTGGCTTCTTCCCAAAGTGCTGGGATTACAGGTACGAGCCACCGTGCCCAGCCTTATGTAGCACTGTAAAATGTGACAAGGAGAGCAGAGGACATGAGACTAGCAAAAGCTTTAAGAAAATCACTATGGTTTCCTCTGAATTCTTACGAAAGGCTGTTTTTCGGAAAGCTCTCAGAATGGCACGTGACAGCCGAGAGACAGGAAAACACCATGGACAGCACTTGGTTAGTGAAGGATAGAGGAGCCAGAGGATGGTCGGGCCGTGGTATTAGTGTCATCCTCACCACAGATCTGGGCTTCGGGTGCGTCCCCTTCCCTGTGGCTGCTTGTGCCTCCCTGGCTTCTTCCTGGAGCCTACAAGACTGTTTGGGCCAGAGTTGCTGAGCTGCAGGATCTGGCTGCCCAGGGAAGCCGTTAAGTTTCAGGACCGCACAGCCAGGGCTCCAGGCCCGGTCAGCCAGGAGCACCATCCATGGTGGCCACGCCAAGCCTTAGTGAGTGTTTTTCTCACAACAGAATCTGCACAGCAGCCACTCTGCACGCTGGTCTCGCCTCTCTTCCCGTAGCCTTTTCTTACCTGCCTTGAACTCTCTTGCAGAGAAACTTCTGTTCCCATGGAGGTGCCCTGACACAGGACATCACTGCCCACTTCTTCAGGGTAAGCTGCTCCCTCAGCCCCTCCCATGGCCTTATCAGAATGCTGGGGGTGGGTCCTCCTGCCAGCTTCCTGCGAGTTCCTGCACTGCGCTGGTTGTGGGTCCTCGCAAACCACCGACCTCCTGGTGCGTTCTCTCCTGCAGGGCCTCCTGAACGCCTGTCTGCGGAGCAGAGACCCCTCCCTAATGGTCGACTTCATATTGGCCAAGTGCCAGACAAAATGCCCCTTAATTTTGACCTCTGCTCTGGTAGGCCAGCTGTCTTGTCGGGAGTTTTGTTTTGGGGATGAGCGGGAGACTCCACGGCTGCCTCTGGCGTCTCTGCAGCACTTCTCCATCGGGGTGTTATCATCTCAGAGAAAATGCGTCGGGAGACATGGAGGCCACAGTTAAAGATGCCAGCTCGCGGCAGATGAGGGCCGCATGTCCTGAGTTCCTAGAACTGTCCCCGCCCCCACCGCCCCGGCCATGGGTACCCTCAGGACTTTTCCCCTGTGGACCCCGCTCAGACCCCACGGCACCTTCGTGTCCACAGGGTGCAGGGCTTGTTTGTTCACTGTCTTGGGTTACGAATTGGCTGGAGGCTGTACGGCGGCTGCCTGTGCCCCTCACGAGAGCATAACCGTGGCCCACTGGCGCCCGACTACGCTTTCGTGGGACTTCAGAGCAGAGACTTCACCTCAGCTCCTGCCAGAGCTCAGCAGGCTCCCCTAACAGCCCAGGGTCCCGGGAGTGGGGAGGGCAGCATTTCCCTCACTTCCGTGACGGCTCACTTAGTCCTGAAGACCACAGCTGTCGCCCTCCCTTCTCAGTTCAGGGACACGAGGGCCTTTTTCTCCCGCAGCACAGCATGTTCCCCAAGGAGCTCCCCAAGCTGCATTTGCACCAAGTTGTAGCTCAGTTAGTGGAATTCACGATAAATGAACTCTTCCGTGTTTAGAACGCCAGCTCTCAGCTGAGGACATCGAAGGACCAGGCATTCCCAGCTCAGGGGCAGTGTGGTCCCTTCACTGTTTCGTTAGGCCAGGCTCTTCCTTCTCCAAATTCCATGTCTTCCATGAGTGTGGGTAATAATGCCTCATGGAACTGCTTTGAGCCTTAACTGAGGTAAAAAGATACTGGCTTTGGAGTTCCAGAGCGCAGGGTGAGTGTGGGCCCGTGGTGGTCTGTAGGAGCGCTGTGGGCTTGTCATAGCTGTGGCAGCGGAGGTGTGTCCACCCCAGCCCCCCTCCTCTGTGTCCTGCTCTCTCTCTAGTTGTGGTGGCCGAGCCTGGAGCCTGTGCTGCTCTGCCAGTGGAGGAGACACTGCCAGAGCCCACTGCCCCGGGAACTGCAGAAGCTGCAAGAAGGCCGGCAGTTTGCCAGCGAGTACGTGTGGGTGGTGAGGACGGGGTGTGCCTGCCCAGATGCACTTTAGGACCTGCTTGAGGTCATCTCCTAAACACCCTGGCTTGCTTGAGGAAAGTGGTGTGGGCAGTGTGTTGTGTGAGCAGGGAGAAAAGAACCGAGTTCTTGTGGTGGTGGGCGCCTGTAATCCCAGCTACCCAGGTAGTCCTTTGTTCTCCGTTCTGGGAGGGAATTGCCTGATCCAGTCACAGGGCCAGGCAGGAAGAACTGAGGGAAATAAGGCCTCTTCTTCCAAAACTTACGCAGCTGGGGCCCAAGAGCACAGGGCAAGGTGGACAGGACCCGGCCGGCTGCCTCCTGTCAGCAGGAGCTCTCAGAACGCCAGGATGCGCTAGGGGCAGTACCAGCACCTGCCCAGACTCTCAGTGGACCTGGGGGTGCTGGGGGATGCAGATCTAGTTTCTGATGGTCCTGAAGCCCTCTGTGTCCCCTGATGGAAAGGCAAGCCCCAAAGGCGACAGGTGGGAATAAGGACTTGGCTCTAAGGCCCTGCACTGACCCCGTTTTCTCTGTCCCAGTTTCCTCTCCCCTGATGCCGCCTCCCCGGCACCTAACCCGGCCTGGCTCTCAGCTGCTGCACTGCACTTTGCGATTCAACAAGTCAGGGAAGAAAACGTCAGGAAGCAGCTAACAAAGCTGGACTGCGAGAGAGAGGAGGCAAGACAGGAAATTCTTTTACTGACTCTTTTCTCGCAAGCTTGGTTTCAATCCGTGCAGCTTCTCTGGGCCTGCCTAATGAGCTGTGTTTTTCTAAAGACAAATATGAGGCTTGGAGTAAGACTTTGACTCTCAAGTTTACTAGTAATAATAATTCCACTTTTTTAAATGGTTGTATGTATTTGAGACAGGGTCTCACTCTGTCGCCCAGGCTGGAGTGCAGTGGTGTAATCACAGCTCGTTGCAGCCTCATTCTCCTGGGCTCAGGCCATCCTCCTACCTCAGCCTGTGGAGTAGCTGGGACTACAGGTGTGTGCCACCATGCCTGGCTAATTTTATAATTTTTTCTGAGATGGGGGTCTCTAGTCCAGGCACGGTGGCTCATGCCTCTAATTCCAACACTTTGGGAGGCTGAGGCAGGTGGATCACTTGACGTCGTGAGTTCGAGACCAGCTTGGGCAACATGGTAAAACCCTATCTCTACAAAATATACAAAAATTAGCCCGGTGTGGTGGTGCACGCTTGTAATCCCATAGCCTGTAAAGTTACTCAGGAGACTGAGGCAGGAGAATCGCTTGAACCCGGTAGGCAGAGGCTGCAGTGAGCTGAGATCATGCCACTGCCCTGCAGTCTGGGTGACAGAGCGAGACTCTTGTCTCAAAATAATTTTAAAAAGTAGGCCGGGTGCGGTGGCTCTCGCCTGTAATCCCAGCACTGGGGGAGGCTGAGGCGGGCGGATCACGAGGTCAGGAGATCAAGACTATCCTGGCTAACACCGTGAAACCCCGTCTCTACTAAAAATACAAAAAAAAATTAGCCGGATGTGGTGGCGGCACCTGTGGTCCCAGCTACTAGGGAGGCTGAGGCAGGAGAGTGGCGTGAACCAGGGAGGTGGAGCTTGCAGTGAGCTGAGATCCCGCCACTGCACTCCAGCCTGGGCGACAGAGTGAGACTCCATCTCAAATAAATAAATAAATAGAAAGTAAAACAGAGATGGGGGTCTGACTATGTTGCCCAGGCTTGAAGTGCTTTTTTTCAGCTTAGTTTTGTCCTCATCACAGCCCAGTGTAAAAACTCAGCTTCAAGTGGTGCCTTCTGTGTTCATGCTGCAGTAGCCTTGATTCACTTGCCGAGGGACAGCCCCAGATAAGCTTGCAGTGAGACAGCTCAGAGCTGGGGTGCTGGGGACAAGAGGCAGCAAGGACGCGACTGTCTGCAGCCACAGGCATGGGGAAAGGAGTGGGAGAGGAGGCTGCTCTGAGTTCCCAGCCAGGGACCACGCTGGGCTAAGACCCACCTGGTTGCTGCGCCCTGGGAAGCCTGACAGCCCCTGCAAGACCAGTGACACCCACAGCCCTCTGTGCAGGGAGCCCAGGGCGGTGTGTATAGAACAGGCACGGAAACAAGCATCCCACAGGAGAGCTGCAGCCCGAGATCCTGTGCCCAGCCTGAGATCCTCAACGCATAGGTGCCATGTCAGCACACGACTTACACCAGCTGAAAGCTGTGCCAACGGCAGTGCCCAGGGTTTTGGTGATTATAACAACCCTACAGGGATTCTTCTGGATGCGTCTTCAGGTTCCTTGTGTAGTTTTGTTAGAAGGGGATTTTAGTGGCTCCAGGGCCTTAAGGCCCTAGTGTGTGGAGAGGACAGTGTCCACAGTCAGGCCCTGGGTTGGGATGGAGCCTGCGGGTTTATCTTCAAGGATTTTACAAACACTTCTGACAGGAGGCCTTGCAGGGAGATGATGGTGAGCTGGGACTGCACACAGCCAAGGAGACTGCAGCAGTCTTCCTTCTGGCTCTTGTCACTTTTTCAAACTGTTTCTAGCTTTGTTTAAAGGCAAGTATGAAATGACCCAGCCAGCAGTAATTAATTCTCAATCAAGCTGTCTCTCTAAAAGTGATTGGAAAGTTTTCTAAGATCCACTTAAAGGATTTATGGCCTAGATGTAAAAAATTTCAATTAAAGAGGAATGTTTCGGCCTTATTTAGCATGACAGAGCACAGGTAATTTTAATGTAGTAAGAAGTGCACATTTTTATTTGCAGCTATTGGTTTTCCTTTTCTTCTTCTCCTTGATGGGCCTGCTCTCGTCACATCTGACCTCAAATGTAAGTCAGACCTTACCAGCCAAGGTGTCCTCTCGCACTGTGGCCAGGCAGGGGAAACTGGGCAGCCAGTTTCCAAGTCAGGGTTTCCAGAGTGGCTCAGGAGCTCCTTGTGTTTGCGGAAGTGTGAGAACTCCCACACCGTGAGCTTTTTTTTTTTTGAGATGGGAGTCTCGCTCTGTTGTACAGGCTGGAGTGCAGTGGTGTGATCTCGGCTCACTGCAACCTCTGCCTCCTGGGTTCAAGCGATTCTCCTGCACCAGCCTCCTGAGTAGCTGGGATTATAGGCGTGCGCCACCACGCCCGGCTAATTTTTGTATTTTTAGTAGAGATGGGGTTTCACCATATTGCCCGGCTGGTCTTGAACTGGCCTCAGTGAACCGCCCACCTCGGCCTCCCAAAGGGTTGGGATTACAGGCATGAGCCACTGCATCCAGCCTGTGGGCCTTTTTTTTGAGACAGAGTCTTCTCAGTCGCCTGGGCTGGAGTGCAGTGCCGCGATCTCGGCTCACTGCAAGCTCCGCCTCCCGGGTTCACGCCATTCTCCTGCCTCAGCCTCCCGAGTAGCTGGGACTACAGGCGCCGGCCACCAGGCCTGGCTAGATTGTATTTTTAGTAGAGACGGGGTTTCACCGTGTTGGCCAGGCTGGTCTCGATCTCCTGACCTCGTGATCCGCCCGTCTCGGCCTCCCAGAGTGCTGGGATTACAGGCGTGAGCCACCGCGCCCGGCAGGGCCTTTCTTTCAATGCCTTATTTCAGGACGTGGTGCAGCAGCCTTGGTGTGGGTGCTTGAAGTCCCTGGCCTCCTACCTGAGCCTCTTCTGGCCAGAGGCCCAGTGTTATCTTCCATAGGTTGTCACCAGTTTTAAGACTTTCAATAAGCAAAGAAGAAATGCCTTCTGTGCTGAGGGCTGTGCCCTCCTACCCTCGGGAGCACAGCAGGTCGGCCATTCTCAGGGCTGCTCTCCTGCGGTTTACAGAGTGCCACGGACCCATCGAAGGCTTTAGGTGTTTGTGCTGCAGTCCTCGAGTGCTTAGAGAAGAGGAAGATATCCTGGCTGGCGCTCTTCCAGCTGACAGAGAGTGGTGAGAAACACTGCTGAGGCGCGGATGCAGAGGGCTGCTCTTTTCAGACACAACTTTCAAATGGTTAAGAACGTGCCCTCCTTGAGGTTCACTCATTCATTTTCATGACTATCTTTCTGCTAAGTTTATAAGCTCCGTTTCAGTTGGGACAGATTTTAAGTACAAACGTGTAAGATAATTTACTTGGTCACTGGTCAACCCCAGGACCAATGGCCTATCGTGGGGACTGCCTCTCTCTGCCCCACAGCCCCTTCCTCTCCCAGCTGCTGATGGGTGCCCAGGTATCCTTGCCTCAGGCTGTTTGCCCCGCACCACCCCCACAGCCAGGCCTCCCAGGGTACACGTCCCAACCCCCAGGGGTGTCCCCCAGCACTGGTAACAGGCAGAGACATCCAGAGTTGCCTGAGCCGCCTCTTGGTGTTGCAGACCTCCGGCTGGGGCGACTCCTCCTCCGCGTGGCCCCGGATCAGCATACCAGGCTGCTGCCCTTCACGTTCTACAGGTACCTTCACCTACAGGCTGCTCAGGGAGCAGGGCACAGCCGTGCATGGTCAGGGCAGGGCCAGTGTTTCCCAGACCCCCATCTTAGAAGCTCTGGCTCTCCCGCCAGAGGGGAAGGGTTGCCTGTGCCTCTGACGCACAGATGAGCAGCATCCCTTGGTATCACCTGCTACCTTTCCAGCAGTCTGTAGCCACTCGTCACCATGTCTTTACTTCTAGTCTTCTCTCCTACTTCCACGACGACGCGGCCATCAGGGAAGAGGCCTTCCTGCATGTTGCTGTTGACATGTACCTGAAGCTGGTCCAGCTCTTCGTGGCTGGGGACACAAGCACAGTTTCACCTCCAGCCGGCAGGAGCCTGGAGCTCCAGGGTCAGGCAGGTGCAAGGGCCAGTCCCATCTCCAGGGGAGCTCCCCGCAGCCTGAGGCTCCTTCTGCCAGAGAACGTTCCAACACAGAATGCAGATGGGGGGGGGAGACACACCAGCCCTGTTTCAGTGTCTTCTAACCTGTGACTTTGCCTGTTTTCTCTCTAGGGCAACCCTGTGGAATTGATAACAAAAGCTCGTCTTTTTCTGCTGCAGTTAATACCTCGGTGCCCGAAAAAGAGCTTCTCACACATAGCAGAGGTAACGTCAAGACACCCACCTTGGGCCACGTGGGGGACACGAGAAATCACAGCTGCCTGGGCCACGTGCCCGCCCGGCTGGCAATGCGACGCCACTGTTTCTGCCAGAGCCCCTTCCCTGTGGTCTGAGGCCCAGTGGACGGCATGGGCTGAGGACCTGCTCCTCTCTCACAGCTGCTGGCTGATCGTGGGGACTGCGACCCAGAGGTGAGCACTGCCCTCCGGAGCCGGCAGCAGGCTGCTCCTGACGCTGACCTGTACCAGGAGCCTCATCTCTTCTGAGAGGACCTACCACTGCACACCAGCCCAGCTCCTTTGTAAATAATTTATTACAAGCATAACACGGAGCTCTTGTTGCACTAAAAAGTGGATTACAAATCTCCTCGATTGCTTTAGTGGGGAAAAGGAATCAATTGTTTATAAACTGTCTGGCCCCAAGTCACTCAGTGTTTGTAGGAAAATAGACCACTGGTCCCAGAGCAGAGGGAGGCTACTTGAGCTGTACACCGAGGGCGGGCAGCACCCCCCAACCCTCCCATGCAGGTGCGCACGAAGGGTGAGGCTGACACGGCCATTGCAGAGTCCAGGCTGCTAGAGGTGCTCATCCCCACTGCCGTCCTCAGGTGGGTTCTGGCTTCACCGCCTGGTCCTCTGTGGTCACAGAGGGGCTCGGTGGCCCGGGTGGTGGCTCTGCCTCCAGGGGCAGGGCCTTGTCCTGGGTCTGTGTCAGCGGGTGCACCATGGACATGTGTACGTTGAGGTTGTGGGCCTTCTCGAACCGCCGGCCACACTGGTCACAGGCAAAGTCCAGCTCAGTCTCAGCCTTGTGTTTGGTCATGTGGTACTTGAGGGACGCCCGCTGCCTGCACTGGAACCCACACACCTCACACCTGGGGGACAGAGGCAGGTAAGAAGCTGCGTGGGCCAGCCACAGCCCTGGGGAGGGCCTGGCTCACACTTACTGCAGAGGCTTGGCTCCTGAATGTCGCATCTGGTGGACGAGAAGGTGCTTCCGCTGCTTGAAGGTTTGTCCACACTCGTCACAGATGTAGTTCCGCACCTCTGCGAGAGGAGAGCCCAGTGAGTCCAGGCCCTGATGCTCCAGCCTCCCGGGGGGACGCCGACGAGAATGTAAAACATCACAGCCAGGAAGAAGTTTCCGCACACCATACAGTGGGCCCAAGCAAGGGGCCTCTGAGGGCCTCGTTTATTAAGATCTCTAAACCGCTTGATATACTATCATATGGCTTCATTAGCTGTGTGCATGTAACAATGATTTTTAAAGAAACTTCAGAAATCTATTTCCTTAAACACAAATTTTTTTTTTGAGATGGAGTCTTGCTCTGTTACCCAGGCTGCAGTGCACTGGCACAGTCTCGGCTCACTGCAACCTCCGCCTCCCGAGTAGCTGGGACTACGGGCGCCCGCCACCATGCCCAGCTGATTTTTGTATTTTTAGTAGAGATGGGGTTTCACCATATTGGCCAGGCTGGTCTTGAACTCCTGACCTCGTGATCTGCCTGCCTCGGTCTCCCCAAGTGCTGGGATTACACGCATGAGCCACTGTGCCTGGCCTACAAATTATTAAAGGACGCCATATCACTAAGGCTGTATAGATCACTGACTGTCACAGCTATGGCTGTTCTCTAGAATTCATCTCCATATGAGAGGGGTCCATACCCAAGGGCTGGGGGTTATGCAAGGTTGTACTCGCTCTGGAAACCTTTCTCGCACCCTTGAACAAAGAGAGACCAGCGTCACTTTTGTTTTTGTGAGACGAAAGCTCACTCTTGCTCACCCAGGCTGGAGTGCAGTGCCGGACTCAGCCACTGCAAGCTCCGCCTCCCAGGGTCCGCCATTTCGCCTGCCAGCCTCCCCAGTAGCTGGGACTACAGGCGGCCCGCCACCCGCACCGGCTAGTTTTTTGTATCTCTTAGTAGAGACGGGTCACCGTGTTAGCCAGGATGGTCTCGATCTCCTGACCTCGATGCCCCCATCTCAGCCTCCCAAAGTGCTGGGATTACAGGCTTGAGCCACGCGCCCGCCCAGAGATACCACTTTCTAGTCAGACCCATTCTCCCGGCTGGCCGCCTCCACAGCTGTCCAGCCCCAAACACTTCACAAGACAGACTTGCCCGCAGAGGGAAACTCTACCTTGACATTTTAATCTCACCCGTGTGTTTTTTTTTGAGACATGAGTCTTGGTTCTGTGCCAGGCTGGACGCAATAGCCCAACGCAGCTCACTGGAACCCCACCGCCCAGGTTGAGCAACTTTTTCTTTTTTGAGACGGCTTGTCTGTTGCGCCAGAGTTGGAGTGCAAATGGTACAAGTCATGGCTGCACCACCAGCCTGGAACCCAGGCTTTAAGTCGATCCTCCTGCCCTCGCGCGCAAGGTCAGCGTGGGCCACAGGTGTGTACCACCATGGGGGCTGGGCAGGCTCACAGCTCACCCGCAGCACTTGGGAGGCAAGGCAGGCGGATCATGACATCAGGTCAAGACCAGCCTGGCCAACATATGAAACCCCATCTCTACTAAAAATACAAAAAATTAGCTGGCGAGGTGGCGGGCGCCTGTAACCAAGCTACGCGGGAGGTCTGAGCAGAGAACTGCAGAACCCAGGAGGCGGAGGTTGCAGTCAGCCGAGACTGACCACTGCAGACTCCAGCTGGGCAACACACTGTCTCGAAAAAAAAAAAAAAAAAAGGGGCTGGGAATGGTGGCTCAGCCTTGGAATCCCACGCACTGGGGGCTGAGGCGGGCAAATCACCCGAGGCAGGAAATCGAGACCGGCCTGGGGCCAACACAGCAAAACCCGCCCTCTACTAAAAATATAAAAATTACCTGGGCGTCAAGGTGGCTCACGCCTGTAACCAACACTTTGGGGAGGCCAAGGCAGGTGGATCACGAGTCAGGAAGATCGAGACCATCCTGACTGAACATGTGAAACCCCCAGTCGCTAGTGAAAAACGAAAAATTAGCCGGGCATCGGCAGGTGCCTGCAGTCCCAGCTACTCAGGAGCGGAGCTTGCAGTTGAGCTGAGATGGTGCGCTGCACTCCAACCTGGGCGGACAGAGCGAGACCATAAAAAAAAAAAAAAACCCAGCGTGGCAGCGGATGCCTGTAGCCCAGCTACTGGGAGGCTGAGGCAGGAAATCACTTGAACTAGGGAGGCGGAGGTTACCAGTGAGCCAAGACGCGCCACTACACTCCAGCCGGCACATAACAGTCAGACCTGTCTCAATCACTAAATTTAAAAAAAATCTTTGTAGAGACAGTCTTACATGTTGCCCAGGCTGGTCTCAACTCCTGGCCCAAGCAACCTACTGCCGCTCAGCCCCAAAGTGCTGGGATTACAGGCGTGAGCCACATGCACCCGGCCCTGATTTCAGGTTTTTAAGGAAACTGCTGGTTGGACCATCAGGAGTGGACAGATGCAGAGTCGAAGAACCAAACACAAGAACTGTGCCATCAGAGAGATGTGGGAGAACCCAAAAAAACAACAAAATAACCGCATGTCAGGAGATGATCCAGCAGTAAAAACCAATCCTAATGAAAAAAGGACTTTCTGTAGTTAAATCAAATAAGAATAAATGAATCTTATCTGTAATAAGTTCAAAACCAAGGAAAACTATTTAAGGATCAATATACAGTTGTCCTCAGCTGTCCCCCGCACCCCAACCCTTACCAAAATCTGCTCATACTAAGTCTCAAAGTTAGCCCTGCAGAGACCCTACAGAACCTGCACTTACGAAAAGGCAGCCCTCTGAATACCCGATGCGAGTCCCTGACCACGTATACGTGGGTCCACATAGTTCAAACAAGTTTTTTTTTTTTTTGAGACAGTGTCCCCGTTGGCCCAGCGAGGAGGCAATGGTGTGATCTCAGCTCATTGCAACCTCCACCTCCTGGGTTCAAGCAGTTCTCCCACCTCAGCTTCCCAAGTAGCTGTGCCTACAGGCATGCGCCACCACGCCCAGCTAATTTTTGCATTTTTAGTAAAGATGGCGTTTTACCATGTTGGCCAGGCTGGTCTCGAACTGCTGACCTCAAGGTGATCCACCCACCTTGGCCTCCCAAAGTGCTGGGATTACAGTGAGAGCCACCGTGCCCAGCCAAGTTTGTCATTTTGAAAACATATCCTTGTTGGATTATAAAAGTAACTTGTACATTATAGGAATTGTGAAAAATAAGACGGGCACAGAGACAGCACCCTCAGTCGCAACTCCCCCATCCACCTCCGGTCTTAATGAGACGAGCTACACACACGTGAAGCAGCAGAACCACACATGCCTCCCGCCTGTCCACACGGGCAGCGCCCCAGAGTTGGCGTGCCTTCATGCCTTCCACCTCCCGCCTTCCCTTTTGAGAGACACTCGTTTGGGCCAGGTGTGGTGCTCACACCTGTAATCTCCGTACTTTTAAGAGACACTTGTTGGGGCCGGGTGTGGTGCTCACACCTGTAATCTCTACTTTGGGAGGCCGAGGTAGGTGGATCACTTGAGGTCAGGAGTTAAGAGACTGGCTTGGCCAACATGGTGAAACCCTGTCTCTGCCAAAAATTGCAAAAATTAGCAGGCGTGGTTGCAGGTGCCTATAATCCCAGCTACTCGGGAGGCTGAGGCAGAAGAGTCACTTGAACCCGGGAGGTGGAAGTTGTGGTGAGCCAAGATGGTGCCACTGCACTCCAGCCTGGGCAACAGAGCAAGACTTCGTCTCAGAAAAAATTAAAAACTAAAGTGACCAATTTGCAAAGGGACACCAAGATTGCTTGGCTATCGGTTTTGACAAACTGCCTAGATCCTGGGGAAGTCAGGAATTCCTCCCATCACAGGGAAGGGCAGATTCACACTGATGCCCTACTCTAGCCTTCATCCACCTACATGACTGTGAGTACCCGAGGCCCCATCAGCCACCTGCACGCGATCCCCAACTCCTGGGGTGGGGATGGGTATCAGGAAGACGGGAAAGCAGGTCACGTGCCCCTGGCTGTCACCGCGCGGGTGACGCTGACGACGGCAGTACCTGTGTGGATGAGCTTCACGTGCCGCTGCAGGTAGCGGTCGATCATGAAAACCTTGTTGCAGCCAGGGTGGGGGCAGGGCCGCTCCCGGACCTCCTCGTGGTGCTCCTTGATGTGCTTCTGCAGGAGAGACTCAGTGAGAGACCCGCAGAGCCTCACCCGGGCCAAGCGGCACGGACCCTCAGCGGGTGGCAGCTCACGCCCCTGGAAGGCAGGCAGATCCAGCTCCTCCAGCTCCACCACTGGTTCCTCCACAGCTTCACTCCAAGATACTTCTAGACCCCCAGGGGGTGTCTCAAGTGAAAGTCTGGCCCCACATCTGCCCCAGGTCCCCGGTCACCTTGGGCACAAGT